TCGGTTGGAAAGGCCCCACGAGCGGCTAAATGTGTCAATGGTGAACGATGATTCGGCCTCTTCAAGGTCGACGGAGTTTGGCCGTGGGTTAACGGGTCAAACCGGTACAGAGCGGGTGGGGTTGGTCGGATTTCGTTCGGGAAGAAGGGGGTAGAGCGAGAAACTGGAGCTTTTTATCCCTCATTTTGGCCGCCGGCGTCAGCAATTTTCCCATTTCCACGGACCATCGATAGACCGGCTTGAAAAATGTTGTTAGATCGTTGCGATTAGTGAAAACTTCTCGTCGAAGCGCTGAGCCTCGGTGGCTAGTGGTGTCAGGCTGCATCCGGCATAGTGTCAACTGTTTGTATCGAGCTCGGCAGGTTGTCATAGGTGTGATCTGTGAAGAAAGACCGAACGATTTTTTTGAGCAGTCTGTCACACGAGTCTTATAAGTCTAAAATAAGCTAGGGGTGACTACCCAACAGATAAAGTATGTTCGGATTCTGAATGATGCTTCGTATGTATCGATCTTCATCTCGTTTGTCAATGCTTCGGAAATTCGGCGAGTCATCAAATATGACATCTCCTTTTTGGGTCGAAGAAGCTCTCAGTACCCATACCTCCAATGCGAAAACCTCGCGCCACAGACACTGTTGGTTTGTCAAGATGGCTGACCTCACGATAGCTGCACTTGACCTCGAACGGAATAAATATCCAGCAGCCGTCGGCGATTAAGAGAATTCTTGACTACACAAACGCCTCTGAATGGACAGAAAGATCTTAAGAGTGGAGAAACCATCTGATCTTGAGGCCGCATCCCCGTCTCGGCGTCCCCTCCACCACTTTCTCGGGCCGGACGGCGTCAAATGCGTGATTAGCGCTACTCCAAATGGCCCTCGTTTAGCCCTACAAGGCCATGGGTTGAGCCTCCCGCGGTCGCCGTGATCAAGGATGATGCCAACGGAGCGAAATTCCGATGCCTCCTCGTTGCACCTGAAGACATGGTTGGCCATATGCCTCCCATATTCGGAACCATTTCCGTAGAAAACACGAACAATTACCCTCGAAACATCCCATAGTATCAGTCACGGATTCATCAAGCTTACGCCAACGGCCGGAGTCCGGCACGGGACATGTGGGACCCCTCCCACTCTGGCGTCGCCGAGTCCCGTCTTAGACGCGGAGGCTCCGAGGTCCAAGCTTTGAGCGGGAAGGATAAAAGTCTGATGGAACCTCTTCGCATCTAATCTGATCTAATCTTGATGATCTCGTCCCAACTGAGTACAATCTTCTTCGACAATCGAATATGGCCAACGTCGAGGCGAACCAAAAGTCCGCCATCGAGGGGGCGGACATCGCGGACGTCGCGCCAGAGGCTGTGACACCGACGACGTCCATTGAGGAAGCGAAGCGTTCTTCAGGTGCGACACACGATTCCATTCAGAAATTTCCTTCCTGACCAAGATTAGACGAATCCTCCGCCCCGAGTCGAGATGTTCTGTATGCTGCTGGAGTTGGTTTGAGACCCGATGATCCTTCCCTGCCATGCCTGACGCTCCGCATGTGGGTGATTGGCATTGGATTTTGCCTTTTGGGTAGCGGCGTCAACACTTTGTATACGTTCCGATTCCCATCCATCAGTCTCTCCCAGTCAGCGATCCAATTTCTGGCATACCCTGTTGGAAAAGCATGGGAGTTTGTTGTTCCCGACTGGGGCTTCAACATCAGGGGTAATCGCATCAGCCTGAACCCGGGCCCGTTCAACTACAAGGTTGGCATCATCCCTGAATGTCATAGCCCCTGTGACACCCGACGCTAACAACCCGTTATCTCGTAGGAAAACATCCTAGTCTATATCATGGCCAACCTCAGCTTCTTGACTCGGCTGAGTGCCGACGTCTTGACCGAACAGAGAGTCTTTTACGGGCTTGAGGCAGGATGGGGATTCGAGTTGACTGTTACACTGTCAACAATTCTCTACGGCTTCGCTCTGGCCGGACTATGCTATGCATTGGTTGTTGAGCCCCCAGGATTGCTGTGGCCTGGTGTTCTTGGAAACACAGCCCTCAATGCTGCGCTGCACACTGGCAAGAGAGAGGACGAGACCGAGTAAGTGCCCTCACATTATTCAATGCTTAGTTCAATTCATTCTGACATACCGGCACCCTAGAGCAAAGTGGACGGCATCTCGCTACAAGTTCTTTATGCTCGCCTTTATTGCCTCGTTTTGCTGGTACTGGTTCCCAGACTTCATCTTCCCAGCACTGGGCTACTTCACCTGGGTCTGCTGGATTGCTCCGAACAATGCGGTTGTCAACCAGGTATTCGGCATGAAGAGTGGCATCGGTTTGTTTCCTTTCACGTTTGACTGTAAGTAAACCCTCATAGGCCCAACAAAGTCCTGAAAAGCTCGTTGATACTAATATCAAATAGGGAGTCAAATTGCCTATATTGGTTCTCCGCTTGTCGTTCCCACGTGGGCCATTCTCAACATCCTGGCCTCTCTGGTGTTCTGGATCTACATTATTTCCCCGGCGCTGTACTACTCAAACACCTGGGACTCAGCTTACTTACCCATCCAGAGCAATTCCATCTACGATAACTTGGGAAAGACGTTCAATGTTTCCAGAGTGATTAACAAAAAGGACGACTTTACTTTTGATCCTGTCAAATACGCCAACTACTCAGACGTACGCAAATACCCCAAACTCCCCATACTATATTATTTTCAGTAGCTCTTCAAACGAGAATGCTTACTTCTTTTACTTAGATCTACCTTCCCGTCACGTATGCGCTCAACACCTTTGGTCTCTCATTTGCCACCATCGCATCACTCTTTGTCTGGTTGTTCCTCGAGAAACGCCGACACATTGCAGCTGCGTTCAGGTCCACCCAGCTTTCTGCTCTCCTCGGGGGCAAGATCGTCCCTAGACACAACCCTCAGCCAGGCTACAAGGCCGTCCCGCTCTGGTGGTACTGGGTTGCTGCGCTGCTTGCTCTAGGATTCGGGATGTTTGCTTGCGAGTTCTACCCGGTTCAGCTTCGCTGGTACGGAGTAGTCCTCGCGTTCGCAGTGTCTGCCATCTTCTTCGTTCCCGTAAGTACCTTGTAAAACTGCTGCTGGTATGAAGAAATGCTAATTCGTCAAATTCAGCTCGCTTGGGTCTATGCGACGACAAATATGAAGATTCAAATTGATATTTTTTGCCGTATTATTGCAGGATACATCTGGGAAGGCAAAGTTCTGGCCAATATTTGGTTCTTCAATCTTGGCTATATTTCTGGCATCAAAGGCCTAGCATTTGCCCAGGACTTGAAGTTGGGTATCTACTGTAACGTGAGTCCTTCGCCTCGTTTCCCCTCCAAAGCCGCCCTTTACGTACTGACAACGCATCGTTGTAGATTCCGCCCCGAAAACTGTTTCTCGTTCAGTCAGTGGGCCTCGTCATTGGCTCTCTGGGTCAAGTCTCCGTTCTCAACTGGGCTCTCAACCACATCCCAGGGATCTGCTCTACAAACGCCCCCAACGGCTTCACGTGCCCCTTCTCTCGGACACACTTCAATACCAGCATGGTTTGGGGTGCTCTCGGGCCCCGTAGATTCTTTGCCGATGGCGCAATGTACCGCTCGCTGCTGTGGTTCTTCCTCGTCGGCGCCGTCCTGCCCGTGGTCGTCTACCTGGTGAGGAAGAGAGTCTTCCCCGAGGCCAAGTGGTTGAAGAAAGTCCATATTCCGCTCTTCCTCGGTGGACTCAACTATATTCCCCCGGCGTCCGGAACGAACTACGGGAGCTGGGCGATTGTCGGTCTCGTTTTTGGCTTGCTCATCAAGAGAAGGCAGAGGACTTGGTGGAGACGTTACAACTTTGTTCTCAGCTCAGCGCTGGACTGCTCAGTTGCTATTGCTGGAATCGTCATCTTCTTCGCCATATTCTACACCGGGGCTTCCAAGAAGCTTACTTGGTGGGGTACGGAAGTTCACAAAGTAGGTTCATGACATCTTATAGTAGCATCTCGTGGGAATAGCATGCTAACCATGATCTTACGCAGGATACTTGTGACTGGAAAAGTTGCACTTACATGAGCCGAAGCGCTCATTAAAGTACCTGAAAATGGAACGCCAAATTTGGGGTTCGGGAAGCGACAGGCACGCGGGGTATTTGCGTGGGGGTTGTTTTTCCGTAGTGCAAGCGTCCCACCTAGTAGTTGAAGTTCGGAGGGGTCTTCGCACTTGAAAACTAAATTACGTAGTAGACTTATCTTAATTATTAGTACCTTTATTGGAGCGTGTTGTCATCTGAGCACTCGGTGTTAAGTGCCCGTTGAACCAGGTTTGTGCCTGAAGCTGTAGTCAAGTCATGGGTCGGCGCTGTCAATTGCTGTTCATGATCGCAGCTACTATGTCGGAGAAAGTCATGGATGGAAATTGAAAGAATTTCTTTATTGTTGATGCTTACAGTGGCGCCAGTGCTATTGGAAACAATGGCTTTGGGACACGCTCGGGTTTAAGGCTTACTGTGACGGTCAGCGCTACCTCCGAAAGTCCGCGCATTGCGGCGGAGGAGTCATCGCCGGCTGAATAATGCAGCAATGATCTGCACTGCTCCGACCGTTCGGCCGTGTATGCGGCCCCTAGGCGGCACATGCATACGCCGGCCGGAAGCCTGCGTGGCCTTTACGCACCTCTTCGCGAGTTTGCATGTCTTCTGTCTCACATCATGTATAATGTACACTCCGAAAGTCCGCTACAGTAGCTTAAGAACTCGGTGGATGAGTCAAGTTTCATGGGGTTTACAGTGTAACTGAGTAAACCGTGCTCCGCAAACATTTGTAAGCGGGGCCCGAACTCTGGGCACCCATACGGGGCCGATGGGATGAAGCCTGAAGGGCAGCAACCTTCGAACGAGGTCGAGAACTCTATTTACTCCTCTCGGACTCTATAAATGTATTTAAGACCAGCCGTGTCGTTCCAGGTCTCGTCGCATTACCTCAAAGATCTTTCTATTGAACAACGACAACATGACTACTTCAACAAGCCCTGTGATACCCACCGGTTCGACGATCCTCGTTACTGGGGCCAATGGATTTATCGCATCACATGTAGCCGATCAATTCATCAAGAATGGTTACAAGGTTCGCGGTACTGTTCGGGACATCGAGAAGAGCAGCTGGCTCAACGCCTACTTTGAAAAGACTTATGGCAAGGGCCACTTTGAACTGGTCTCAGTTCCAGATATGCTTGCAGGAAACGCTTATGACGAAGTCGTGAAAGGTAGTATTTGATGCCCCTACTGTTAGGTAGATGAGTGCTGTGTTATTATGCTGATACCTGCCAGGTGTCTCCGCTTTCATTCATACGGCATCCATAGTCAGCTTTGACCCTGACCCAAACAACGTCATTCCGACCGCGAAAGAGAGCGCCTTGGTTGCCCTCAAGGCTTCATACAAGGAGCCGAGCGTAAAGCGCTTCGTGCTAACTTCATCATCGTCAACGACATTAGCCGCGAATCCTGAAACTTTCATGGAGATGAAGGGGGCGGTTGTGACCGAAGACACTTGGAGCCCTGACGCGAAAGAACTGGCCTGGACGCCGGGCCCGTGGGGTCCTGAGCATGGCGCTTTCGTCTATGTTGCCAGTAAGGTTGAGCAAGAGCAAGCCGTTTGGAAATACCACGAAGAGAACAAGTCCAAACGCCCTGACCTCGTTGTCAATTCTGGTAAGAAAAGCTTGCATTGTGAGCTCCTATGCTTTTCGGTCTCGGATATTAACCGTCATATTAGTCCTGCCCAGCATGAACCTGGGAAAGAGTCTTGATGTTGTAAACCAGGGACACAGGTCTACTTCAGGTTTCATCCTGCCTTTCCTCGAGGGACAGAGAATGCCTCCTCACTTCAGCCACCCCCGTAAGTGCTGAAAGTGAAAGTTGGACAGTCCTATAGCTAACTTTGTGCTAGAATACTTCATCGATGTACAGGACGACGCTATTCTGCATGTGGCTGCCGCTATTTTACCTGATGTCAAAAGCGAACGCATCTTTGGTTTCGCTGAGTCGTTCTGCTGGGATGATGTTCTCAAAATCTTGCGCAAGCAGCACCCGGGCAAGAACATCCACGAAAACTTTGCCAGCGAACCTTTCCCAGTTATCATCAAGCCCGTCGACCGCGCTGAGGCACTATTGAAGAGGATGGGACAGCCTGGTTGGACTTCCCTGGAGGACAGCTTGCGGATGAACACAGAGGACCTCAAAGCTGAAATTTCTGCCTGAGAACAGGGCTTTCATGGATTTCGATGTTTTGGTGTAAACGTCGGGGTTTGGTAACTTGAAATCGAAAAAGCCACCTTCAGCTAGACAATCTAGGGCTGATACTTCACATCAATATCGACCAATAGTAACTAATCAGCCCGCAAGTCGCATTTCAGCTACACGTTCTAAAGCAACCGGCATCACAAATGTACCCCGCATAAGCGCCGGCTGCTGCCTGAAAACGGGTCACTTGTAGCCAAGATGCGAGTTCGATCAAATTGGGCTTCTTCTGGTCAGCACGACCATCAGGATCTTTCTGATACCAACATGCCTCGTTTCAATTTTTTTAATGGGCTCGAGAACAGCACGGAGAGTGATTGACTGAGTCAATACCCCAACACATCGGGGCCGACATGGACCCTTGCAAGATTTGCCGGCATTTTATTGAGTATACCGCCCGCTTAAAGTCTCTTGTCAAGTTCCAAACACCATGGATCGTATGGGAGCAGGAAACCAAAGAACTCTTCGTTTCCAAGAAAGATTGCCCGTTGTGCGCGGCTCTTTGGGAGTTGCTGATTGAACACAGTCTGAACCAGGCTAGAGAGCGTTTCAAGCACGTAACAACAGAAAGCTCACATCCCGTTGCTCTGAAAGTACTGGAGGTAAACAATACTGGTAGGATTCTCTGGGCAAGCCTTGAAGTTTCATTGGAAATCACACGAGACAGTTTTGTGTATCTTTCAGAGGCATCAATAGGCATTTCGCCACAGGATCCAGATGAGGGTATGTCTCAACCCAATTCTTATTCCTAAACCAATACTGCAGAAAGCTTCACACTCATGTACTGACCACTTCCCGTAGCATACCAGCATCCTTCTTTCTGGATGTCAGGTCGGACATATTCACTCCGGACTTTGGCAGAAGACAGGATACTATGCGCAAGGACTTGGTTGAATACTTGTGAGAGCACGCACGGTAGCTACTGTCAACCACGCAAGGGAGAATTGCCAAAACGTTTCATCGATACGAGACCGGATCAGCCTTTACGCCTGGTGTCTACCACGAGTGAAGTATTCCAGCAACTCTCCGCCGTTGTGCGATATGCAACATTGAGCTATTGCTGGGGAACATCGACTCCATTAAGAACTACAAAAGCTACGGAAGAAGACTTTGGCGTTTCTATACCTGAGAACCTTCTTCCTAAAACTTTCCGACACGCTATAAGATTAGTCCGCTCATTAGGTATCAGCTATCTTTGGATCGACTCCTTGTGTATAGTACAAGATGACCAGGCAGAGTGGGAATTGGAGGCATCTCGCATGGGGGATTTCTATGCTGGAAGCCTTATCACTATAGCAGCAAGCGACGCTTGGGATAGCGAAGGAGGCTGTTTCCCAGGAGACGATAATAGCATGGAAGCAGTTATAGATGGAAAAGACTCGAGTCCAGGAGACACTAATGATCCTGAGAGTGCGGCAAGAGCTAAGGCAGATCCTACAGTCCGGATGTTCACCTACAAGGGAGAGGACGGCTACTCCCAAACGTCTTGCACTAGAATGATCCGTTTTCAATGCCTTGACCCCCGCGAAATTCCACGACAAGCACAGCTCAGCACACGAGGATGGGCGCTTCAAGAGCGAATCTTGTCTCCAAGGATTCTTCACTGTCTGAAGTCGGGCGTTCACTGGCAGTGTCAATACTTGTACGAAACTCAAGCTACTCAGACCTACCAGGTCCACCATTCTACAGCAAGTGATTCGACATACCCCATCACGCAAGTTTCTCAATGGTGGCCTGAATGGATCGAAGATTACTCCAAGCGAGACTTTACTATCGCCTCCGACCGGCTGCAAGCTTTCGCCGGGATTACCAAACACTACACAAACTTAACTTCAAAGAAACCGATTCTCGGAATTTGCCCTGACAATCTTGCTCGAGACTTGGCTTGGATCAGAAATGGCCAAGGGAAGGGCCCCGGTATTCCTGGAGCACCCTCTTGGACCTGGTTTTCTTGTAACGCCCCAATCATGGTAGATGATTGGGGCTTCAAACTTCAACGCCGCTTCAAGGTCTCAAATGGCGTGGACTTGGTCGCCTTTGGCATCGAGTGGAAGGGAATCCCGATGACGTCCCAGATTGAGTCTTGTCATCTCATCATACGTGGAGTTGTCAAGAGTATTTCAGTCCGCATACCGCCAGAAGCCATGCTATACAATCCACCGTACATGCTGCTCAACGATGAAGAGACCGATTTCTCCAAAGGCCCAATACCTTGGACCTGCTCAGGACGATTCGACGATCCCGGTCATCCGGTAGATTCCGGACTCCCATACCCTTGCTTGCTTCTCAGGACGAGGATGATTGAGGAGGCCAAAGGTGGCACGATTTTCATGGATACGTTTCTGATTCTTTCTCGTGAGAATGACCCAGCTAAAGTAAAGTCGACTGAGCATGGGAGCTTTCGACGCATCGGAATCGCATCATTCAGAGGCAAGGACAGAATCTTCGTGGACAATTCCGACAGAAAAACAGTATTCCTCATCTAGAAAGATTATACCAGACCATCCCGTATACCTACATTGAAAGAAGCCTTTAAGGGTCAAATGTTTATTTTAGGAGATGTTCTCGGAAAGTACTGAATAGACCTCCACCACTCCTTCTTATTCCTACTTTAGCGAATGATGCCGCATTCTGTAGTCAATAGTATCAGTCGTTTCACGACATCCATAAACAGGATTTGCCACTGCTGGATAATGTGCAAGAGTCCAGTGCCAGCTACTACGCACATTACACACGCTTGCGTAGGGCTTGAGAGGGGAAGTTTGAATGATGACTTGAGTAGAAGGTGAGCTAACTGAATCAACTGGGCTGTACCTGTTGTATTCGACTCTGAATATGTGCAGTGTTTCACATAAGGTTCAAGGAGAACAATCTCGGTTATTTCAATCTAAATGAGCGCTCAAGGTAATAAGAAATGAGATGGATTATGGCAAGCTTTAATAGCTCGTGATCTTCAGCCTCAACTCAAAGAGCATGTTCAACACCTTATTATTCTCTATCCCCTCAGTCGTCCTTGGGGTTGCGGAAGAGTACAGGCTGAGGACTTCCTGGCCGTTGTCCATCAAATTGCCTTCGGGAAAGCGTATTCGGCTGCCAGACATAGGTCAAACCAGGCCTTTCCTGCCTTGCGGTGGCAGGAAGAAAGACCGCCGTCATGCCTTCTGGTATCTGCTGGGATATGTGTAGAGGGCGAAGGGAGACTGTGCTTGGCAGGCCCGGAGTAAGTATTCCAGTGTGACCTGCAGTTCATCCTCGTTCGGATAACGTGAACATCCATCGATGGCGCAGAAGACCACCGCTCCTGGAATAGACAACAAAGTTATCTCGAATAGCTGCCGCAAGGCGTTAAAATCCCACTCAGATAATAGCGCATAATCGACACCCATGGCCAACGTTCGCTCAGCTGGTAATTTCTCAAGCAACTGAACGATCAAACTGCGCAAAAGATGGAATCGACCTTGCGCGCTATCCTCGCGGAGGATACCACAAAAGTAGTGAAGAGTGACGGCTGGCTACATATCTTGGAGACTGGCAACTAATGACAATCAAACGCTTGAAAGGGGTGTCGTCAGTCTTCCGGGCTCATGAATTCGGACAAATAGGATTTGTGACTGATTTGACTGCATCACATGCGAAATGTTTCGATTTGTGTCACTTTCTTGACGATATCGCTTCCGTTGATTCCCTCCACCCTGGCAACTGATCCGATGATGTCTAAAGCCATCTCTATTCGCTGCGAAGAAACTCCACGCATGCCTTGAAGAACCTGTCAACTAAGTCGCGACGTCTCTTGCGGTGCTTGCTGGAGCATCATGAACACTGCATGAGATGGTGACGATATTTGACTACTTTGATGCTGGCCAAGCAGCTTCATTTCTCCTGCGAAATCAATTAATTAGCTTTTCCTATTTTATATAATATTTAACTCGGCAGAAACTTCAGCTGTTCTTCCAATATTTTGTTCTGGACTGATTCAAGTTCCTCAAATTTCTTCTTTAAGATCGCGTGTTCCCCTGTGTGTTTGGGGACGAGTTAGTGACTAAATCACACTCAAGCGGAGATTAAGAGTTCATGTCTATCAAGGAAGAAATAAATGTCACCTACAGTTCGACTCCGTTGCTATGGAGCGAAGCGTCAGGGAATCATCGCTCAGAAGCGCCAAAGCACCTCGTTGAGCCATGGCAGCTGCTATTGGTATCTCTATCACAGAGTTGTTGGTTCGGATCGCCTAGTTCTTTGGGTGATGAAATGTATTGGTCTATATCTTTATTTTGCACAAAGTGAAAAGGGCCGTTTTCAACGGTAGGTTGACTGGGCTGTTGCAAGTTGATATAGGGACTGTTGCCGGCCACTGCGTGCCCTAGCTTCGCTGGTCGGCTTGGACCTCCAATTCGACAGCTGCTCTCATACTCTGAACAGTGCCTTTGGCTTTGATCCCGTGCCTGCTCGTAACTAAGAACATTGCTCGCGAAAGGCTGGTGCAAAGGGCTCGGTCTTCTGTATTGTACAGAGAGTCTCCACTCTGACAAACACACATCTTCGCGATCAAATGAAGGTCGACCGACAACGCCCCAACGTTATCGTCTACCCCGGTAACGCTGTGACCATACTTGTCTTGTAATTACCGTCAGAGCTTTGCCATTTCTTCTATCATGTGCTTCAGTCAACTCATTTCTTTTTTCAGTGTTCTCTCATCTGCTCACAAATTGAAGCCAGGACGTCGAAGTGTTAGGAGTGTAGTAACTATTTTGGGGTTGACACACGAGGTTTTCCCGTCTTCTTAATGGGACTTTACATCAACGTTGGCCATGCGACTGCCGAAGTACTGAAGTGGAGAATGAGGGGTAAAGCTGCTTCTCGGACAATAAGGAGAGGGGACAAATGCACCCCAGAAGCTAGTTAATTCTTCAGAGCTCCGACGAAGAGTCGGCCGCGCAGGGCGGCTTCGAAGGAGACAACCT